ATTTCAAAGATGACAATATGTAACTTATTAACTAGTGATATCTTACTGTATTTTTTCCTTGAAATTATGTATTATTTGTACCCTTTTACTGATTTGCTTTTTAAATTTTATTTCCTTTCCCTTTTTTTCTCTTTAAATAAAAACAAGATAACTATAAGTGGATGGGTGTTAAATGACAAAAGGTAGAGAGACATAGTAATAGCCTTTCCTTCCTACCTCTTGTCTGTGACAAGCTGATGCTACAAATTTCCATTTGGAAGCTAAGCTTCTTGTTTTAAGAAAAAAGACAGAAGAGGAATCAGAGAAGGAATGATAATTAAAGGTTGGAACAGGAGATTTGAAATTAAAAGTCAGAATAAAGAATCGGGCAATATTTGCTTGAAAATTACCAGCTTTAGCCTGTTCACTGGAGAGATGCTAGTAAGGTCATTTCCGAAAGGCTTCTTACTAAAGATTTTCAGAAAGTCTACTAAAAAGTTTGTAGAGTATGTCTTTGTTCCTGACCACTATTGATGTGATAATCCAGAGTGGAAGGTGAGACTTAAGATAGATTTAGTGCATGTTATTCCTGTCAAGATGCTCTGCCCAGAGACTTATCTTTCCAAGAGACTTGTGCAAATTTTATGGCTTCTGATTCTGATTCTAGTATTCATATTCTGTGATCACTCTGAGAAATACTGCTTTATGTTATAGATACGCTTTTCTTCCAGAGGGTCAGATTGCTTCCTATCTTACTATCTCTTTACTTCTTCAGAGAAACTGTGGATTCTATTATCTTCATGCTTTAGGGTAAGGAGTAGAGGTCAAGCTCTTAACTACTGAGTTAATCTCATTTTTATACCTTTGCTTTTTCTGTGCAACCGGGTTGTCTCCCTGGATCTCATCAACCATAGAGGAGGACACTCTGAACAGGTAAACAAGTGAATGGATGTGAGAAAGATGTTGTCTGTGTTATGAGCTACTGCTGAGAACTGAGGTCCCATGAAGTCAGCAAGCTCTGACTCCAGCACTTATCACCATCGGCAGGCATCCTGTACAACCTGTTAGTGAGTAAAAAGGTCCAGCTCTCTTCTCACCCTCCAAAGCTCAGGCTGAGTCTTCTGGCATCTCTTCTTGGCTCCGCACAACTGAGTGACAAACAGCCCCCTACTAAACTCACTCATATAAAACTAAGCACAAAAGGAAGAAGAAATTCTGAAACCTGAGGAAGGGAGGTATAAAAGGAAGATATTTAAACCCCTGACATTTATGTAATTTCCTGATGCACCACTGAGATCCATTCTCAGATCTTTAATCAATTTCCTCTTAGGACTGGAGCCCTGGGCCTCATTACCCAGGACTCCAGGGAGAAAGGACAATGAGAGGAGGAGAGTAGTCTTGTTGAGGGTCTGAATAGAGACCTCAGAGTACAATGTACTTATAGCTACTTCTGAAGGATGCACAGACATGTTTAAAGAAACTTCATTTCAGGATAGCAGAGAGTTGTTTTGTTTTATGTATGATGTAGCTGTGTGATAATTTATGTGCCTTGACTGTGATGGTGTGGATGTTAGGCATATGTAACCAAATGCAGTATTTATAAAGTGCTTTTTAGTAAGATGCTGTTATGGCTTGGATCAGGAATGATCCCCCAGCCCTCAGGTATTTGGAAGTTGCTTGGATTATATGGGAATAACTGACTTGCTATTGGGCCTCAATGTCTGGTCAGAGGAAATGTATCACTTGGGCATGGCCAGGAAGGCTTTACTTTTCTCTCTAGATAGTCCTCCTCTTACTTCTTTTTTTCTTCTTGCTCTTACTCTTTTTTTCTCTTTCTTTTCCTCTTCCTCTGCTTCTTCCTCTTCTGCCTCCTCTTTTTCCTTCTTCTCCTCCTCTTCCTCCTCCTTCCCCCTCTCTCTCATCCATGATGCTGTGGTAAGGTGTCCTATTTCATGCCTTTCTGCCATGAGGCAGCTGACTGTAGGTTGAAGCATGAGCCAAAATGAAGTGTGACTCCTTTAAGTTGTGAATGCCAGGTATTTAATTCTAACAAGAAGGAAAGTAACTCTTACAGGGAGAGAAATACTGTCTGATCTCACTTATACATGAAAACTAAAATGATTGGTGTAGTAGAAAGTAATAGTATTATACAGGGATGGATGAAGGAAGTTTGTTCAGTGGTTGCTAAGTTATAATTAGATGGATTAAATGAGTGCTTGTACTCACTACACAGTAAAGTTACTAACTCAAACAGACAAAGAGGGACTGAAGGTTTAGCTCAGTACCACAGCACCTATTAGCATACTTGAGGCCTTGGATTCTGTCCCCAGACCACCTTTCCACCCCACAGACCACAGAGTGAAAACATATACAAAAAGAGTTGTATATGTTGATACAGGGACATGAAAAGTTAATCATTCATTTTTGGACTCTAGGAAAGCTAATGGAGAAAACTCTTTAGAGAAAGGAGTGGGGAATCATTTTAATGCATTTTTTACCTAGATGATTGTATTGGTCAGGGTTTTACTAGAGAGAACATATATAACCCGGAATGTACAGAAACAACAAGATTGGCTTACAATAGTCAGTCACAGAGTTCGATGAGGAAGCATGCAGAGGGTGTCTATGCACTGGAGGCCAAAGGGTTCAATCCAAGATCTCTGGAGTTCACTCTAGTGTCTTGTGCAAGTCCACACCAGCAGGCTGATGGGTCCGCGACAGAAGGCCGAAGGCCTTGTGATAAAAAGCTGAAGAGTCTATGCTGGGAAGCTGAAGAGTCTGTACTGGAAGCCAGGAGGCGAGGTCCAAACTAAAGGTGAAGACTGGAGCTTCTCCCAAGAGTGGCATAGATTTGTCCTTCCTCCTCCCCTTTTATACCTCGAGGTGATAACTCACCCAAGGGTGGGTCTTCTTCTACGTCCTTGGGTGTAGATTTGCTAAACCGATTTAGTTAGCTTCTAACTGTCTCAAGTTGACACAATCAATCAACCACTAGAATGATTGATATCTATATTATTGGTTCTCTCCTGGATGTGTAAAAGCATTTTAGGTGTGATTGAAACATATACTGAATGTTTAAATTTAAAAGAAAGTGACTGCAGTAAAAGACAGTGCTATCCGTCCCCCTCAAAATCTGCACTTTGATTCAAACACACTTATCTCATCTTTCTTGATACCTCCTGAAAAAGTTTCGGCAATTCTGTTTCAGTCTTTAATTTTACTCCTGGCCCAATGTCCTGAATTCATTTAAAACATTTAACCTTCATGGTCACTTTGTTTTTTGTCTTTTTGCAGGGTTCTAATATGTAGTTCACGTTGACCTGAACTCAGTTTGTAGCCCAGGCTGGTCTCATTCTCTCCACAAACCTCCTTCTTTACCCTCCTGATTGAGAGTTTACAGGTTTGTGACACTACACCAGTTCTATGGTCATTCTAAATTATGTAAAGAACATATTTCACATGCTGCAAATTCAGTGATTAAGGTGGATAAAGACAAAACAATTCTTTCACAAGCCTGCTTTTCTATTGGATGACATTGGCAGCAGCATTTATCATATTTTTATCATATTCTGCAAATATATTCATGAATGAGCACTTTCCAAATTGCTCTAGAAAATGACAAGAACCTGGATAAGTAGGTTCAAATTAAAGGGGAGTGCTAGATTTTGAAGAGGGTTGTTGGCACTGGGTCTTTCATTGAAATAAATCTTTAAATATTTATGGTATACTTTAATCATATCTCATACATATTAGGGAAAATACTGGCATATCTAAAGCAATCACAAGGTCATTCCAGTCACTAACCTGGCTGATCCCTTTGCAGGGTTGAACCTTCTACTTGGGGCTACATCCCAGGAAGTTTTGGTTCAGCGCCTTGTTCATACAAATGATTTTGATAAATCATAGTCTACCAAGGATCTGTACCCAAATCTTTTATGATTTCTATTAAAATATAGATTCCTGGGCTTCATTCTTTCCAGACAGAAGTAGAAATTTTGACATTTCTGACAATGATATAGACATTAAAAAAATCAGGAACAACAGCGCTCTGTGTATACATATATGTATATGTATATGTATATGTATATGTATATGTATATGTATATGTATATGTGTGTGTTCCAACTGTGTAATGTGACTAAACACAGGCATGACCAAAACATCCTGTAAAGTTAATAAAATAAAGAATGTTTTTCTACCTATACACAAATATATACATGTATACATAGATACATATATAGGTATGTGTATCTCTCTCTCTCTGTCTCTCTCTCTCTCTCTCTCTGTCTCTCTCTCTCTCTCTCTCTCTCTCCATATATATGAAACCAATTCACTGATTTATTGAAATGGTGAGGGCTAAATCCCAGTCTAAATTAACTTTTTGTAGATTTGAATGAACATTGTTCATATTGTTTCAAACTCATATTTTTCTTCAAATTCCCAGGGCCTTTACTATTTTCTTAATTCCATCCGTGGGTAATTAGCGAGCAAGCTCATGAAAAGGCATCACCTGGAATGTAGGTATGAATGTGTGCAAATACATGTGGTGTGCATAAATGAAAATTATGATTATAAAAATATGATACAAGTTAAATGCAAAACAGGAATATCATCACTCAGTTAAATTACTAGTCAGAGAATTAAAAGGCAAAACATGTGCTTTTGAAGACTTTCTCAAATAATAATCTTTAATAAATATTGATGACTTACTATTCCTCAAGCACTGTGTTAGGGGTTTACATGATTATCTTCATAAATTTTCACAACATCCCTATGAGAAAAGAAGTTAGTATAATTTCCTTCATGGTCATTCTTCCTTTGAGGAAATTAAAGGGCAGACAGGGAACTACTTTTTTAAGCCTGTATGTTCCACAGTTCACTATTTGCTGTTGATAATTGGGAGCATGCTATTTTCTCACAGCATAGCTAAAGCCAAAGGCTTCCCTCAACAAAAACAAACACAAAACAAAAGCACGGTGGGATTCATGCTTCAACCTTCTTTCTTTTATACCAATTTAATGCTACTGAAAACATCTAAATGGCTTTCCAAACTCAAATTTCTTGACAATCCGTTGGCGAATTTGCTTTATCTTGATGTTGTAGACGATAGGGTTCATAAGAGGTGGAACCAGCAGGTACACATAAGACATCAGATGTACCGTACGTGGCAGATGCTCCCCAAAGCGGTGCACCAGCGATAAGCCAATCATGGGGATATAGAAGAGCAGCACAGCACAGATGTGGGAGACACAGGTGTTGAGGGCCCTGAGGCGCTCCTGGCGGGAGGCAATGCGCAGCACAGTGCGGAGGATGAGAGCATAGGAGAGGAAGATGAGCAAGGAGTCCACTCCCACAGTGCAGGCCACAACAAAGAGCCCATAGATGTGATTGACAATGATGCTAGAGCAGGCCAGCTTCATGATCTCTAGGTGCAGGCAATAGGCATGGGCCAGCACATGGGAGCAGCAGTACTGGAAATGCCTAAGGAGGAATGGCAGGGAGAGGATGAGGAGGGCACTTCTGAGCAGGGAGCTTAGTCCCATCTTTTTTTTTTTTTTTTATTACTTTATGTATTAATATTAAGAAGAAAAGGTAAAACAAATTTTCACAACAAAATAATGAAAAAGTAACAATTGTTAATAAATTATACAACATTATTTTTAGTCACTCAAATACAAAATATGGGCATAAAAATTACTTCAATCAATATTAGCACAACTTTTCCTTTTCAGTGAACTAAGTGACACTAATGGTGTAACTAACTTGCACTTTTTTTCTTTTCCCTTCTATCTTTTCTCTTTTCTCCCATCTTAGTTTCTTCTTTTTATTAAACAGTTTCCTTCCATTTCACAGTGACTATTGTATATTTTGAACCTTATGGTTTCACATGTGTCACTATTCTCTAAAATAGACCATATATTACCTCACAGAATATATTTGAACAAATGCAAAAGGGTTGAAATCATCCCTTGTATCTTATCAGATCATAGCGCTTTGATATTAGAAGTTAATGATAAAAGATACTGCAAAAATCCAACAAACACATGGAAACTGAATAACACACTCTTGAAACAATCAGTGGGTCACAGAGGAAATTAAAGAAGAAATTAAACAATACCTACAAAAAAATGAAAATTCAGATAAAACTTACCGGAATCTGTGGGATTCAATGGAAGCTGTCCTCAGAGGAAAATTTATTGCACTGAGTTCCCACATCAGGAAAACAGAAAGAATACAAATAAATAACTTGATGCTACACCTCAGTCATCTAGAAAAAGAAGAGCAAGTCAAGTCCAAAGCCAAAAGAAGAGAGGAAATTATAAAAAGCAGAGCAGATATCAACACAATAGAAACTAAGAAAACAATCCAAGGAATCTACGAATCAAATACTTAGTTCTTTGAAAGAATAAATAAAATAGATAAGCCCCTAGCCAACCTTATTTTAAAAAGGGAAGAAAAAGCTCAAATTCATGCAATAAGAAATGAAAAAGGTGAAATCACTACAGACCCAATAGAAATACAGAGGTTATCAACAACTATTTTGAAAACTTCTACTCTCAAATGTTTGTTAACACAGAAGAAGCAGACAGATTCTTGCAAACATATGAAGTACCAAAGCTAGATCAAGAGGATGTAAAGCTGCTGAAAATCTCTATCAATGAAATTGAAAATGTAATTAAGTCCTTACCTACAAAGAAGAGCCCAGGCCCAGACGGATTCACTGTAGAATTCTACAAGAAATACAAAGAAGACTTAATGCCAATACTCCTCAAACTATTCAATGAAATTGAAAGGGAAGTAATGCTTCCTAAGTCATTCCTGGAAGCAAATATTACTCTAGTACCAAAACCTGACAAAGACCCAACTGAAAAAGAGAACTATAGGATAGTCTCCCTAATGAACACAGATGCAAAAATCCTCAATAAAATATTTGCAAATAGGATGCAACAAATCAGCAAGAAGATTATAAACCATGACCAAGTGTGAGGCATCCCAGGCATGCAGGGATGGTTCAACATACGTAAACCAATAAATGTAATCCACCGTATCAATAAAGCCAAAAGTAATCACATGGTCATTTCTGCAGATGCAGAAAAAGCCTTCAATAAGGTCTAACATTCATTCGTGATAAGAACTTTACAGAAAATTGGAATAGATAGTCTCTACCTCAATATAATAAAGGCTATCTACCACTAACCAACAGCCAGTATCATAACTAAATGGACAAAATATGAAAGCCTTTACTTTAAAATCAGGCACAAGACAAGGATGTCCTGTATCACCACTCCTATTTAATGTAGTACTGGAAGTACTAGCCAAGCAATTAGACAAGAGAGAGAAAAAAAGTGGTAAAGATAGGAAAAGAAGAAGTTAAATGATCATTATTTGCAGATGACATGATACTCTACCTAGAAGACACTCTAAACTCCATTGAAAGACTCTTAGATATAATAAATAAGTTCAGTAATGTAGCTGGATACAAAATCAATACTCAGAAATCAATAGCATTCCTATACACTAACAACAAAATCACAGGGAGAGAAATAAGAGAAGCCAAATTCTTCACACTAGTAAGCAAAAAAAAAATGAAATATTTAGGAATTACTCTTATGAAAGAAGAGAAAGACCTATACAGGGAAAATTATAATACACTGAAAAAAGAAATTGAAGAGGATCTCAGAAAATGGAAAGACATACCTTGCAGATGGATAGGAAGAACATACATTGTGAAAATGGCCATTCTTACAAGACTGTTATACAGATTCAATGCAATCCCAATAAAAATACCATCAACATAACTTATAGATCAAGAGAAATCACTCCTAAAATTCATCTGGAACCAAAAGAGACCTAGAATAGCAAAGGCAATCCTAAGCTGCAAAGGCAAAACAGGAGGCATTACAATCCCTGACTTGAAGTTATACTACAAAGCAACAGTAGTAATAACCTAATACTGGAATCAAAATAGAGCCATAGATCAATGGAATAGATTAGAAGATACAACCACAACTGCAAACATACTCAACCACCTTATCTTTGATAAAAGAGCCAACCATGTTCACTGGAAGAATGACAATTTCTTTAATAAATTGTGTTGGAAAAACTGGCTCTCCATTTGTCGAAAACTAAAATTGGACCCGTGCCTAACACCATGTACTAAATGAAAATGTAAATGAATCAAAGATCTGAATATTAAAACAGAAACACTAAATTTATTGGAAGACAAATTGGGTAAAAACCTTGAAGACATAGGAGTAGGTAAGGAATTCATGAACAGTACTCAAACCACACGGGAAATTCTTCCCAGAATCAATAACTGGGACCACCTCTTATTAAAACTTTCTGCATGTCAAAAAAAATCTCCAGCATAGTGAAAAGAAAGCTCACAAACTGGGAAAAGATCTTAGTAAGCTCCCCCTCAGATAAAGCACTTTTGTCTAAAACATATAAAGGATAAAAAAAAAAAAACTCAGACCCCCAAAATTCAAAGATCCAGGCCAAAAATGGGCATCTGAGATGAATACACAGTTCTCAGATGAAGTAATACAAATAACAAATAAATACATGAAAAAATGTTTATCATCATTGGTCATTAGAGAAATGCAAATTAAAACCACACTGCGATTCCATCTCACTCCTGAAAGAATGGCCAAGATCAAGAAAACCACTAACAACAAATGCTGGAGAGGCTGTGGGGAAAAAGGAACACTCCTGCACTGTTGGTAGGAGTGTAGACTGGTACAACCTTTGTGGATGTCAGTCTGGAGATTTCTCAAAAAGCTGGTATTTAAAGTCCCATTTGTTCCAGCTATTCCACTTCAAGGCATATTCCCAGAAGAACTGAAAGCATCATACCACAGTGATATGTGCACCCCTATGTTTATAGTAGCACAATTTGTCATCACCAGATCTTGGAAACAACCCAAATGTGCATCAACTGAGGAATGTATAAAAAAGTTGTGGTAATTCTATACAATGGAGTACTATTCAGCTATAAAGAAGGATCATATTGAGATATTTATCAATAAATGGGTGCAGCTTGAAACCATTCTCATAAGTGAAATAAACCAATCATGCATGTGTGAATACCGAATAGTTTCCCTAGTGTAGAAAATGATTCAAATATATAAAAGTATCTGGTAATTATGATTCCCCATTATGTGGCCTTGACGCCTTATAAAGTTTTCACTTATTAATTGGAATGGTTTTATTCTGGGCTGCTTGATATTATTGCCTGTGATGAAATTAACAGCTATTTTTAAGAAAACAAGTCATCATAATAGCTAGTGCTGACTTACTAATATCTTGTTTTGAAGCCCCACCAAACTATGGCTCTTCTGTTTCCATTGGTTTTATCATGTTGTATTTTGCTGGATTTTTTATATGTGATAGTATAAACAAAAATTGTTATAGGCAAAGAGATAATATAGAAACCATTTTTCGTTTTCTCTTAGCTGGTTTTAAAAACCCTACAATGCTTTCATCCACTTGAATGGTTTTACACTGTCTTGATATGTTTGAAGCTATAGTAAATGAAGTTATATTCAAATATTTCAAGAGAAAAGACACTATGGTAACTACTATTAAGTTGAATTATTTGGTGGTGAAGTACTAGGTTGCTGAAACTGTCATGCTTTGACCCACATTGGTATGTTGTTATGTCCTCTTTTATCTCAATCTCTCCCTTATTCATTAAAAAATTATTTAGTTATTTTCTATGATTTTTTAATTAAGGGGAAATTTTTTTTTAAATTAGCAGGATATATTATAGTAACTTTTTGATTTCCTATTAACTAGATTTGAATTCCTGTAATACTCCACTGTCTTGTTTTGACTGATTAGACTCTGTTCCGTATGATAGTATCAATTTTGAAGGCACAGGCAACTACTTTGAAGGCAATAAGGTTCACTATGATGCCCATTCTGGTTTGACTATTATCTTCTTTGGATATCCTGTAATTTTTCCAGTGTTTAGGTTTTATTGGTTTTGTTCTCTACTGTTTTGTTCAACTTTATTATACCTAATGAGATAGTTCTTTTTAAGGAAGCAAAAGGCATTATGGTAACCATTGTTGATAACCCTGTACTCTGTTGTTACATCATGTGCTATGTCTATCCTTGGTTTTGACTGACAGCTTTCTTTTGTCATATTTGATTTTATTTTCTTCCAAAAAAATTAATAAGAACTATGGGAGTAATAAAACTCAAAATGTGTAAATTTTGTTGTAAAAATGAGAAGGAAAAAAAGTGCTTAAAGGATATAACTGCAAGTGTGTTTAGGGGTGTTAAATAGATGACCATATTAATGTTTTTGGTTGGATCATTGAGTACAACTGTTTGCAGTCTCACTGTTTGAATGCTCACTTTGTATGCTTTAATCCTGTTACTTGAGCAACTATCTCTAAGATAATAATGTGTAATCTAATAACTGGTGATTTCTTACTGTTTTTATTGTAGTTCTGTATTACTTATACCCTTACACTGTTTTGTTTTGTTTGATTTTTCTTTTTCCTTTTAAATAAAATTATAAAAAAAATTATCA